TCGCTAAACAGATAAACGGGGAACTTTTGCACTGCCTGTGCGTTGACAAGGAGTACACTTCTATATGACACGCCGCTAACTAGGATCTACCTGGATTCTTAACTTATCTCGTTATGTCCAATTTTCCCTGCTTTTTTCCCAATGCACGTCAGTGGTAATCCCTTTCGAGGATGCCTCAAATGGTGCGATTTTTAGGAATCTCTCCGACGGCTGAGAAGGTAAGTACGTCTAGACGCACGTGTGCTGTATACACACAAGATACGCAGCGTTCTGCAGACACAGAGCTGCGCGCGGAAGTTATCCAAACCAAGCAAACGTAACAAGTCAGTAGGGGCAGACACTGCTCATCTGTCTAGTCTGACGCCTGGTCATAGGGGCAATTGGGGCGTGAGTCCCAAACTATGTGCAAGGGTAAACACATGGCCCTTAGGCACGTGTACACGCGCATTCGCTATTTCGTTTAGCTCGATGCTGCACGAGGAGTCCGTAAATAACACTTGGCTCCCCCCGCTTCCTAAGTTCGTGAGTAATTTGGTTATTTAAGTGATTGTCGCTTGTCACCCGCTCGATGCTCGCTTGCTTACACAAATTCTAACGCGCCCGCATGTGTGTGCACGGTGGGCTAATGAACTGGAATGAACACGAACACACTGGCTATTGTGCATATAAACGTATGTGTAATTTTTTTTTTTTTAAATCACAATATGCGATATTTAAATTTTCCCCTTCTGGGTAGAAACCTCCGGAAAAATGTCTCTTTTATGGGAGGGGGCAGGAAAAAAATAAAAAATGGTGAAGGTGATAAATGCGATTAACCCGGTGATCGGGATAAGCGTGGCAAGTACAGCAGATAGAGAAGTCCATAAAGCAGAAAAAAAAAAAATCAATAAACAAACTGCGGTAAAGTGAAGGCAATTTTCTCTATAGCGAACGAACCATGCTGCGAGGAAGGGAAAACAAAATGTGTAAAGGTAGACTGTTGCACAATTTTGCGTAGTGATCCACTTTATGGCGTCATGCATAAATGGTACCACGAACCGTACTGCATGGTTCCGGAGCGCACATAAAAGTAAGTAGCACAAAAGGGTAAATATGAACCGGGGGCGGAAAAAAGCAAGTGGAACGGCGCGGGGAAGGGAAGGTTAACACAGGTATACACAATTCAGATAAAGGCAAAATTTTGCGCGAGGGGTGTAATGAGTAATGATATGTAAACACGTAGTGGGTCCTAAAAAGGCTGCTTAATTGTTGAGCATTAAAAATGGAAATTACTTTCAATTAAGAAAAAAAAAAAAAAAAAAAGTCCTCCCTTATAAGAAGCAATTATACAATTCGATTAAGTTACCCTATGAAGTAAGCTTAATAACATCGGAAGGGAGCAGAGGGTTAACATAAAGGTAGTGTACCACATATATATGCTGGTAAATATACACCCCGTGTGTTTATTAATCGTCACATAAGGGAGTGGGTGGGCACGGCAAGTTTGCAGGTGGGCAGACATAATCACATGAATAAATTTAAAGAAACGGAATTAAAAAAAGACGGTGAGTTACCCAAAAAAAATGAAGCAATCTTTTTTTTTTTTTATTCCTCCAGACATATACACACAAATTGCTAATTCTACGTGTGGCGTGGTTTGCAAGACAACGTTGCAAAACGATTAATGTAGAGGATCGGAACAGTCCGTTATAACTGAACTGATAATGTACCAATCGATACGTATGCGTGTGGAAGATGACGAAATTTGACGAGTAAAAAAAAAAAAAAAAAAGAAGCTGAAAGTTGTCTGTTTGTTTGGTCATTGTTTAATGTTTATAATGTAGAAAGAGTAAAAAAAAAAAAAAGACTTAATCTTCTGTACACACAAAAATACAGCTTCGGCTGCTACGTATGTTGAAATATAACTACACGTTCAAGTGGAAACAACTCTGGTTAGCTAAAAAATGATATCACAAAGCCAGCACTTTACGAATTGTTTTCCTTTTTCGTGCAATTATGAGCAAAAATTCAGTCACGGGCAGTGTACACATATGCCATGCACTGCCATAAGGAAAAAAAAAAAAAAAAAGAGCTGTTTTGTCGGAACAAATGAACGCATACATAGTCCACGTACATGTATATGTTTATATACACTTGCGCATGCACCGCGAACGGACGAAAGACGACAGAGTGATACAAAGTCTTCACTTATAAGTATCTACATGTACAGCACGCTGGGTGTTGAAAGACGGATATGAAAAGGCAGACGGAGAATAGGCACATATATATTTTCACACGCTTACACCTTTGTAGGAAATGTAAAAAAAGTAGGGCAAGCTACAAATGGACAATTCAAAATGTTGATTTGGTGATGTCTCGCTAGGAGGTAGGGAAATTTCGTAACAACATATATCAGGAATGGGTTAATTCTTTGGGGTGAGTGCTTCGAGCGGCACTCCGCTTGTGCTACTACATTATATATTTAGTCGCACGTTCGGCTATATGTACGGGAACGAAGTGGCATGCAGTCGTTTTGCCGTTTTGCCTCTTTCCATCTGGTAGATATATGTACATATATGTATGCCTACGCGAGAAGCGCAATCGACAAGTACCAAACAGTGCACGGTTCGCAGTAGAAGTGAAGCAAATACTTACAGTAAAGAAAAGAAAAAAATGGCTAACAAATGCGCACTTATATTTGTTTCTCCTTTTTTTCTACGCTTTAAAAAAATTTTAAAATGATAATAAAAAGGCAAATTCGTTAAAATCGGGTAAAAATATCTCCTACGAGGGGGATACGCTAAATTTTTATCATTTCAAATTTGTAGCGATGTCATTTAGATTAATTTTTTACGCTAATTGTAAAAAAAAAAAGGGAAAAAAAAAAAAAAATGCCGCCACGAAAAAAGGTGATTTAAAAATTGTCAAGTAGAGAAAATATGCTACATACGGCAGGACGCGGATTCAGTGGCAAAAATGGGGAAAGCAGAAATGTACTCTTTACTTTCACTTTGTGAACATTAAAGGGTGCAGATTCGTTAAAAAGGTGACGCTTTAACAATGTATGGTATATGCTCATCTGTTCATTCAGTTACATGTTATTATTTTTTTGACTTTTTTAAAAAGATAATTGTTCTATGCCCAGCCCCATCCCCATATTCCCGGGGAAAAGTAATCTTAGCGATGCTTGAATGGACCCTCTCACGGGGGGTAACGAGAACAGGAAATACTTTTGGTTCCTCGAAATGGAAGTGTAAAAGGGGAGCATCATACCTTTTTATTTCCCCTATTTTGCTTCTTTACTTTTTACTTTGTTTCTACGCCGTGTCAGGCCAACCCACTGTCCGCGTAAAGCGTGGACGCTACAAAGGGGAAAAACTAAGAAGGGCTGCACGGTACCTGAGTTGCACAGGGCAAGCCCTTACTCAGTGCCACCTCGCACCTATAAGTGATCCACACGGTACGGTCTCCTTACGGAATGAGCTTGCCAAGTGCGGAAATAAACGAAATGGGTCACAAAGAGGAAAAAAAAAAGTTCTGTACTGTCCATATGGAGAAGCTGCCTAAGCACGGGTTGCACGAAAAGCGCCGCATGACAATGCGCAAAAAAAAAATAAAAAAAAAAAACGAAAGCACTTTTTAACCTGTTCGTTTGTTGTGAATAGTGGTGGTCGTCATGCATGCATGTAAGAATATGGTAATCTGCCCACACAGAGATTTTCCGTATGCACTGTTAATTTGCTTTCCATTTTAGAGGCACTTTTATTTGTCCCCCATTTATGCGCACAACAAGGGGTCATGTGGCGTTGTCGGTAGCGTAACACTTCCCCCCCTCGAGAACACTCCAAAGAATAAGTACTCCAAAGAATGAGTACTCCAAAGAATAAGTACTCCAAAGAATAAGTACTCCAAAGGAGAAGCATCCCAACAGACATGCATGTTCCACATGCACACATGTGGGCGCACACGGTGTGTGTCTCTGTGTGCGGTTCGGCGTACCAATTAGGAGAGCATGTGTAAGGTGCAAAGAGAAAGAAAAAAAGAGACAACCGTAAAAGCGCAAAATGGTCCATGAGGACATATACCGGGAAATGAAACCGTGGATAGGGCAAATGTTCTCTCAAGAGGCAAGCACATGTAGCCATCGAGCTCATCAACATAGGGCTAGATTCCCCTGCTTGTTCTTTCGCGGTGTGAGGTTTTCACCCGAATGGGAAGGAGAGCCCTTCCCAAATAGGTCGCACTATTTTGTAAAAATAAGTGGAAATTTCCCCGAGCACTGCATACGGTAAAGACATTTTCCATCTTATTGAAAAGCCAACAGGGTGAGAATCAATCATTATGAAAAAGGGGCACCCATTATGAATAAGGCTCAGGCACTAATATTCACATGGATATGCTTTTTCCGACTTTACGCGTGCACCATTTGAGTCCCGTGAAGGTGTCGCTACCACTTGGTTTATCTCCTTCGCAAGAAGAATAATCAATAAACATCATAGGGGAAAAAAATAGGGAAACAAAAAACATCGGAAATTTGAGGCAGAACAAGAGAGAGGGGCATACCTTTACACCATTTCCATTTTACTGCAAATAGTTTTTACGCTATGACTCTCTTTGGCGTTCACTTCTTGGCCGAAATGACCGCACATGCTAGGAGCCATCATATCTGTGTGTAAAAAAAAAAGAGGCCACCACGCGGGGGTGAGGAAGGTAGGCGCGTGTATATATACATAATATATATATATGTATATATGCCTGTGCGCGTGTGTGAGTATCCTTCGCGTGAGGAACTCCTCCCTGGAGAAAGATCGGGTCAATTCGCTGATGGCCGCCTCACCAATTTAACCCAACACATGGGAAGAGAACTCTCCTTTTTGGCGAAATAGTCCTGTGCAAGCCTCCGCTTCTGTTTCCACGCCTTTGCTTCCGCGCATTTGCTCCACCGCCTTTACTTCCCCACCCCTGCTTCCCCGCGCTTTCTTCTCCGAGAAACCAATATAAAAAAGAACATGCGAGAGAAGTCCTGGAAAAACAAATTGCCACTAAATTGGAAAGATGTATAAAATTCTGGCTACCTGCTATGCGTTGACGACGGTTTTTTTTTTGCCTAATGAATCGAAAAATATCGAAGGGAATTTAAACGTGACCCCTGAAGTGGACGGTATCTTCTTATGCACAGGAGGAGAGCAGCGATCGCGAAGGCAGCGCCGTGTGTAACTGCTATATTTGCTGCCCAGCTCTCCACGCTTATATCGATAATCCCTCACTTCCTTTCTACAGAAAACAGATACATCTCCTTGGACGAAAACAACATAAACGACTTCATCAATGTTAAGGAAAACAAATTTCTGTTCAGCGTCACCTGCAGGACGTCCACATTTTTGAGCGGCGCGAAGAATTACGTTCTACGTAAGGTATCTTCCTCGCTGGGTAGGTGTCTCGAGCCAGTCGGAGAGATTCCCCCCGCGGATTGTTAGCCAGTCCACGCCGCAGATTTGCACGTACGGTGGTTGCGATTACAGTGGTTGTACTTACGGTCGCTGCAATTACAGTGGTTGTACTTACGGTCGCTGCAATTACGGTGGTTGCACGTACCATCGTTAAACATTCCATCGCTCCCCGTGTAACCGCTCCCCCACCCCGCAGACGCGCTGGAACCGCTCCGGTCGGATAACGTGAACCCCGAAAATGTAAAGGCCCTCGAAGGCGTTGTGCAAAGGACGTGGGACCGAGAAAATAAGGAGTTCCTAGAAACAACAAGGAAGCTAATCGAGCAGTACACAGACAGCGACTTGTTCATACTGCAAATAGGACTAAACAGCATCGCATCAGCAATCATCGACAAGCCACAGAATGTAATTTATGTAGAGGAAGATGTAGAAGTGTGTAAGAATTATTTCCTCCACAAAAATAATAGGTGTCTATTACTGTTGAAGGGAGTGGAGTTTTACTGCAACAGAGAGGATGATGGGGATGAGGATAAGTACATACACAGCACCCTCGATTTAATCACAAAAATTTACCAAAACAGAAACAACCAAGTGATCGATGTTCTCATCGTAAGTCACAAGTATCCAGTGGCCCTGCTATACTATGTGTACCCCTACATGGATTCCTCCACATTGGTCATCCTAATGGATAACTTAAATCACCAGATGAAGGAGGCCATTTTTGAGTACTACAATTTTATAGGCGAGGCTGATTTTTCAAGAAGTTTCACGAAGCGATTTTTTAACTCCTACAGGAAAGACGAACATAATGATAGCGCCCCCAATGAAAATGCTACCCACAAATATGAACTTAACGAAAATACCTACATCTATAGCAAAATGAAACAGTCTCCATTTTACGTAATTACCCTGAATCCTAAGATCATGATGAACCCAGCACAAAATCGATACAAATCTTTTATATCCAAGGAGTATACCTCCTCTTATGAGACCGAAATTACAAGAATGATAAAGGACATTGAAAAAATATTAAAGCTCAATGGTACCTTCTACAAAAAGAACAAATTGTTAGTTCAAAACTATTTCTCCGTTATAAATGATTTCGAATTTGACAATGATGAGCATGTCACGAAAAATGTCACCGACATGTTGACTTCCATCCTGAAATCCTTTACCATCACAGGAGATATAAATACAAACAATTACAACTATGCCTTGGAGAGTTTGGGAAATATATTCCAATTAATGTTATTCAATGTTTATAATAACTCAAAATTTAAGTTGTTATTCACACCCTTAATAGACTTCTTTAAATTGTACTTGGATAAAAATGACTCAAATTATATAATGTACGAATTTCTGCTATATGGACTTATTAAGAATTCCAGCCAGGTTGCCTCCTACGAATTGAAAGAACTCCTCTTCCTTGATGTTTTAAGAGATGTTTCCAAAATGGTTAATACCTTCTCCATTCGTGAAGTCATCCGAGTCGTTACCAAGCTGAACATCTTACTCAAGAAACTCAGGTCCAGGGAGGACATCACTCACGTTAAGGAATACATCAAACGGGAGTTCAATCTGGATTACATTAACAATGAGTTGTAGTAATGGATGGAGTTTGGGAAGAAAGAATATATCTGTGTCGTATGCTTCCCTGGCATGGGCTTGGCTTAATTCAGTGGCCATAATTTTGGCTCTTTCATTTAAGAAGCTCCGTGTTTCTTTATTTTTTTCTTTTTTTTTTTTTTTTTTTTTTTTTTTTTTTCTTTCTTTTTTTTTTTTTGTTTCATTTGGGACTGTGAAGAGGTGTGCTTCCACTCTTGCACGATCACCCCTGCATTTTCCAGTGCACACTGTTTTGTTGCAACCTGCGAATTACACGCCGATTGTCTCTCCACTCCGTTTTTGTGTGTGTCTGCACCGCAGTAGGTCTGCTAACCCTTTTTTGTGTGTTAAGATATAATCCCCTTCACACGAACCCCCCTAAAACGTATTCAACCTAGGATTCACCTTTATCTGTTCATATAGTTATCGAAAAAGGGAGTCATCTACGGGAAAAGGAAAAGCGACTCCATGTGCCTCTGCCCCTCCTTTGTTGGGTCTTACCAAGTGACGCTATTTACACCTGCGCGCGTTCAAACCATCAGCGGTGTACTCACGTACATTTCTCACATAAGTGGATGGTGCACACACCACTAGGCAGTTTGAAAAGAGGAAATTTAAGAAATGAGACAAAAGGGAAAAACGGAGAAACTGCTCATCTGACATATGATTGGTTCCTTCCTCTATCCATCCATCCACCCACCCACTGTGATGTCCCTTGTCTCTTTTTCCAATTTATTCACAAAGAAGCTAAGCAATTTGCCTCTACATGTGGCATAAAGTTAGACGTGCTCAATTTCTTGTTGATGGAAAATGCTAATGCACAAATGAGGAGGGGGCTACGAAATGGTCCACCAGGAGCAGTTCACCACCAGCAGTTCACACACACAAATTAGATTGAGACTATGATGCACTCTTCCAAGTGCTGCTCCTGAAGGGGGAAAGACGCCAGTTGGGTCTTATAAGAAAAAAAAGCAGCAAAAAAGAGAAGAAAAAGAGAGCAGCAAAAAAGGGAAGAAAAAGAGAGCAGCAAAAAAGGGAAGAAAAAGAGAGCAGCAAAAAGAAGACACCTCCTTTTTCCAGTTAAAGAGAAACAATTGACATAACCTGACGTGAAGATCTCCGTAACAGATTTAACAATTTGGCTAGCTTGGCCTATCCACTGGCATCCGATTTATTGAAGCCCCTGCGCACCTTCTAGATTGAAATAATTGCTTCCCTTTTCATACATCTCAGGCGATAACTTGTAGCTGGACCACTAATACCACCTTTTGCACGTGGAGTCCCAAAAGACATGCTCAGACGGATAGGTCGGGGCTGGATATTTCGGCAACAGATTAACTGGGCAGATAGGAATAGCCTTCCGTACGTATTCACTTCTGTAGCTACTTTCCCCTTCAAATGGTAACGACCTTGTCAACTTCGCTTCCTGTCTAGGCGGTAGTTCCGGAAGCGGTTTCGGTCCGAACTCGCTTCGATAATTGCTCTCCCCTTCGAAAGGAAGGGATTTTGGTGGCTTCTGTTCAACGCGTGGGGGAATTTCAGGTAGAGGCTTAGGTCCAAACTGACTCCGGTAGTTGCTTTCGCCCTCGAAGGGAAGAGACTTCACCAATTTTGTTACTACCCGTGGGGGAAGTTCAGGTAGGGGCTTAGGTCCAAACTCGCTTCTATAATTGCTCTCTCCTTCGAAAGGAAGCGATTTGGGTGGCTTCTGTTCAACTCTTGGAGGAAGCTCAGGAAGCGGTTTCGGTCCAAATTCGCTTCGGTAGTTGCTCTCCCCCTCAAATGGAAGCGACTTCACCAATTTTGTTACTACCCTGGGTGGCAAGGGGGGTAGAGGTTTAGGTCCAAATTCGCTTCGGTAATTGCTTTCCCCTTCGAAAGGAAGCGATTTTGGAGGCTTTTGTTCAACTCTTGGAGGTAGTTCCGGCAGCGCTTTGGGCCCAAACTCGCTTCGATAATTGCTTTCCCCCTCGAATGGCAACGATTTGGGAGCCTTCTGTTCTACCCGTGGGGGAAGTTCAGGTAGAGGCTTAGGTCCAAATTCACTCCTATAGTTGCTTTCTCCCTCGAATGGCAACGATTTGGGAGGCTTCTGTTCAACTTTGGGAGGTAGTTCAGGTAGAGGCTTAGGTCCAAATTCGCTTCGGTAATTGCTTTCCCCTTCAAATGGCAGTGACCTCGTCAACTTGGCTTCTTGCCTAGGCGGTAGTTCCGGCAGCGGCTTTGGACCAAATTCACTCCTATAGTTGCTTTCCCCATCGAATGGTAATGGTTTTACTATTTTGGGACATTTGTGAAAGCCGCAAGTGCAAATTTCATCTACACATAACCCTGGTCGCTTACTGGGAGATTCCTTCCTTCTCTGTTCACTGTTTCTGTCCAAAGACAAAATTCTATTAGCATAAAAATAGTCCTTCCCATTTGGTCTGCCATAGTCTTCCACACACTCTGAGTAATCAGAACTGTCACAGTTTTTGTAGTCCTCAGACGCGAAATTAAATTTCACTTTGGGTTTCTCTGCAATGATTTCCATATTGAGAGTACTTATTGAGTGTATTTATTGAGTGTACTTATTGTGAAACACAGTTTAAAAGAGGTACACCAAAATGGGGGCGAAGTTCACTGCAACGTTTTTTTTTTTTTTACAAAATGTAAAGCAAAGGTTTACGTGTAACACTACAATGGGGAGAAAAAAAAAAATATGTCCTCCGTTGATCAATTTTAAAACAAAAAAATTATGTACATTCCAGTAAAAAAAAAAAAAAAAAAGACTAAAGAGCCACGTTATGAAGATGGTTAAATTAAACATGAGGATATGATATATCTATGAACGGAGAGGGAGAGGTGTCAAATCATTGAGGGGTTGTGCTATTTCTACAAACTGGGCCATGTGCATGCCCTTCGGGGTGGGGAGGTAAACAAACACATGTATCTACAAAGGGGCGAGAACTGTTGTATTTGGACAATTGAAATGGTGCGAAGGGACAACGCGTGTCGCACACCTTCGCATTTCGTCTCGTTGCGACCTCGATTACGACTTCGATTACGACTTCAAGGTTACAACCGTGCGAACACAACCGTGTGCTCATACAATACGTACAGTACACACTTATGCGCAAACTGTTGTGAGCTTTTCTTTTCACACACATAACATGTGA